TAAACTTTTAAAACAGGCATCAATACAGCATAGATAAATACGTAAACAATAATAGTGATTCTTTTGAACAACGATATGAGGTAATGATCAACATAAACAATGTCAATAAACGAGGTCATGTGTTGTAAACACCGTGACATGATTTATTCGCACGGGAAAATCACTCAGCCACATTTCGACAGTAATTAAGAAAAGGCTCAACCACGATTCAACGTAGATTCAAATATGAAGTTTAGTACTTAGTCAGAACTTGATACTGATAAGATATTTACTTTCACACCAGCCATAACTTTACATCAGCCATCTCCACAACCCACCGAATATCCATGACTTCAATTTACACGCTTTGTTCAGAAGTATCTATCTGACCATTGTATACTTTGTAGCTAATGCATGACACACCACACACAAGTACAAGTTTGCTCCGATAAGATACCTTAAACAGCGTACTCATAAAAAATATGTATAATTACATTAAACTAAGTTTGTTTACTTTTATCCCGATGCAAGTCCAATTTTAAGCATCGCCTAGTTGTGTATGCCTTTTGTCTCTTTTTTTTTAAAGTCAGCTTGTTTCTAAAATTTTCTATAACTTTTCATTTGTTCTCTCTTTCTTTCAGGTCCCTTTTGACTTCCAGAGAAGAGAATGGTCTTAATAGATTGGCCCGTACGGCAGTATAAGTTTAAGTTGGTATGCACCTGGATTAATCCCCTACTACCTCTAGTTTTTCAACTTGAGGTGTCTGACAAAGAGTTCTCTTTCCCGTTGTTTTGAAAAATATCTTAACAGTTGCAAAGTAAGAACATATTACAGAAAGAAGAGAAAAATAGTATCGGTCTCTAAATAAGCCGTGTTAACAGCAAAAAAGAGCGTAAGGTAATGGTACCAAACAACATAAATTGATGGAATGCTTACATGAGACTTGTAAGCCGTCGCGAATACACAAGAAGTAAAAATTCATGTTAACTTGAACACGTAAAAAAATAAAGATAGAAAAGAAAGAAAAAACAAAGAGGAAGCCTGAAGTATAGCAATCTTAATATAATTACAAAAATAAAGAGATCTGTTAAAAAAACAACTCTTGAAGTACTTACAAAATAATAATAAAAAAGAAATAAGAATTACATTAGCAAGATATAAATAAGGTAATATAAAAAGAGTAACTAATACTAGAGACATCCCACTTAAAAAACTGTAAAAGTTTCATAAGGATTGAGAAACTCTAAAACATTTTTTAATAGATTGCAAATACAATAGGCGGCTGAATTCATGCAAAACATTTCGTCTTGCATGTGAAGCATGACCAATCCGCAAGGAGACAGAGAAAAAAGTGATATTTAAATAACAGAATTAAGTATTAATATTAATATTATGTATTAATATTACTAAGTTTTAATATTAATGTTAAGATCTTAGCTTCAAACTTAAAATTACAAAATGAGATGGTAAAAAACGCCTTCTCAGTCTAATTTAACTGTTTTTCGGTACTAACTGTAGTATAACAATACTACAGATGAAATCAATCAATGCTAAAAGTATAACATCACAAGTAACAACATCTATACTTTATCTTTGAATATGAAATAACAAACTTTTAAGCTACTAAATGATTTTTCAGCAATTTTAAAGCGTTGTTTGTTATTTACTATACTACAACAACACTAAAGATAAAATCGGTATTTTTTAAGTATTTCTCTTAAAAGATTTATAACTATTGTATAAAACTTTATTCTCACAATGTGATGTACAAAAATTAGATGACGTAAAATGATTTTTTGGCAATTTTGAAACGATTTTTGACGATTAAATTGGTAAGAAGGTACTTTTCCAAAGAATTTACTTAACAAAAAAGTTTGATTTTAATAAGCCCTACAACTTTTGTATCAAGTACTTTGTCAAAAAATTGGAATTTGTTTCTGTAACAGGCAAAAAAAAGATTTTTCTAAGTTTTAATTTACATTTTGAATTATAGAGCGTCTGCATTGCAATTTGCAGTATAATGTATGACACAAAAAAATTGTATTTTAACGAGATCTAGAACACAATGTGAGGACGTATAAAACGTATGAAAAAAACGTTATCTCGGAAAAACTATTACTTTTGTCTCAGAACGCTGCACTAAACATAATGTCAAAATTTTTTCTAAATTTAATCTACATTCAACTAAATTACTAACATTATTTCAGCCTATTTGGATAATAATTCTTTAAGTTAATCGGAAAACTTAATAATGTAAATACATCCATTCACACATACACCATGTCACCAACTCAGATCACCCTCATACTAGGTTTACAATTTGTTTTGTATTGAAAATGGACGATTTTTAAGTAGTTACACTTTTTGCGCTCACAAAGTTATAAGGCACTAACGTACACAAGTCAAGCCTAAAAAAGAGGCCGACCAGTGATAAGCATACTAAGAGGAAATTTTTCAGCTTACAAAGCTGAATATGAATAGAAAAAATAAGAATCAAACTTAATTTATAAACATTATCAACGTAAGAAAAGAGAGAAGAGTAGCATTGATATCGAATGAAAATTTTTAAAAATTATTGTCTATTGAACGCATATGTATAATTAATTTTAAGATTTGTATAAATTACTAAAGAAATAAGCATGTAGTTGTTTTTGTGATTATCATACTTTTATTTCCAGTATTCACAACAGGAAGAATTTAACGGAAGTTACTTCCTAAAATAATTGGTTTATCTTCAAAATAAATGTTTGAATTACAAAGATCTCTTGATATTGTATAAACTATTTCCAAGACGTTTGAAGGTATTATGAAAGCTTTATGCTTAACTTCTCTTACTTTTTTCTTATCAGATTCCAATTCGCAAAATGCACTTTTTACATTATTTTCATCCAATGGCAAGAGCAAAACTCCATGACTTGTAATTCCTTTTGGGAGTAATATTAATACAATTCCAGTCCAAGCCATAGACAAAACTTGTTTACTTTGAGAAATCAAAAAATAATATAGTGTTTTGTACAGAAAATTTTTTCCACAACCTCTAGGACCATCTATAAAAAAAATTATGACTCTTCTGACGCACAACTTAACAATATATATTTGATCATCATTTAAATGATCTTACAATGATTTGACCATTTTTTTTAGGTGCAGGTAAACTAAATAATTTGCAAGAATTGTACTGATTGTGTTAAAAGTTTTCGTGGAAGTGATGATTTGAAAGACATTACAAAAATGTATATAAAAAGAGGAAACAATGTGAAAAATAACATTCATTACTAAGAGTTATTAAATTTTTTACGAATTAATTGACTTGATGTAATTTTCAGATTATCGAAATAATTAATTTAATAAACAAACTTCTTTTTTAATCCAAGGAAATCAGTCACAAGGGGGTTGGTGCGCACAGTATGCAGGCAGGTAGATATATATGAAACAAAAGACTTATGTAGAAAAAAACTGTGGTTTGGTTTCGCTAATGTTAATACACTCTTAGATTGTATTAATAATTATACAAATATTGCTGTTACTTTTGTCTGCTTCTTTATATCAGTAGAACCATTTATAATTTTTGAGTGGCGTCACCAGCAGTCTGGACATAAAAAATTACTACTGAAACTATTTTAAAGTACCAATATTGAGACTATGAGTAAGATTTTAAAAAAAGTTGAACAAAATGCGACTATAACTTTTATAAATAAATTTGTATTCTAAAACATTTATGATGTTAAATGCGTATAATATGTTAAAATAAATAATAAAATACATAAACAGATACAATTTACTGAATTTCATTTTCATGTGCTACGTACGATAAGGCAGCATTAACACGAGTAAATAGTAACATAATGTAACTTCCTTGCAGAACATCTTTTCCAAAGTAATTCTGAGTAATGTTGAAGTCTACCAAATATGGTTGGATCCACTTGAACATATTTTTTTGCCTACTTAACAATAAATTATATCATTCTTAGGGCCTAATGAAGTATAAATACAAAACGTATTCAGAAAAGGTTATAGGATAATCTGTAAGAGGGAAACTGATACATAGAGCACTCAAGTGGGCCAAGCTCCGCTATTATAAGTATAAATACATGTGAGTGGGGCTGTTACCTCTTGCGCACACCATCTCCCTTTTTTAACTGGTAACAAAATGTAAATCACGGTTTTTTAATTCAATTCTGATTAAAAACGCTAAAAATTTTAGTATGGGTACATTGGTTTCGTTAGTACAACCAAATAAATATTTAACTACAAATGTGTAGTGCATTCATGAAACTTGTACACCTCATTCAAAAAATGTAATTGCAGAAGTTTTTTAAAAGTAATTGGTCACACAAATCTTCAACTTTCAACTTTCTTTATTTTTAATTTTTTTGCATACCTCGTTTAATGTAATAATTAGATTTCCTAGGATTAAAATAACTGTAATTTTGCTTTATGACCTAAAATGATCAGTAATCAAATTTGTAACTTTGATTTTATATTCAGACTTACTTTAACCTCAGACTTATATTATCTTATCTCACCTCTTTATTGCACTGTGGCTCTTTGAGTTCCATCCAGTATGAACGTGAGCCAATATTGTATAAATAACTTTGATACCGATAAAGACTAGTTATCGTACTAGTCTTCTATAGTATTTAGTTAACTTCAGTGATTTTCTCCACTGTAAATGTTAGTAAATCTGATACATTTCAAGAGCTAACAACAATTTCGCTCTGAGTTCCACTAATCGCCCTTACATTACATTTACAACACATATATACGCTATGGCATAAACGCTACTCAGAACGCTAAAAACAATCAAAAGTTTAATTAAATTTTGGTAATTTCTGAAAAATTAGATTAACAGATCCATACATATAGCAAGTGCTTTGGCTTGACCGTAACAGAAATAACCTTTTATTTCAGAAAAAAAAAAAAAACCTTTTTCAAGTAATATCTTAAAAGCCGTACTCTGAGGAGTGAAAAAATAGGGTAATGCCACCACTTGTTATGTTACTACACGCCGTACAAAAAAAAACCTTTTTCAACAAAAAAACAAATTATTATGCATTTTACCGAATAACAATACCTACACAAATACTTTTGTTGGACGGATAATACACAGCTACATTTTATTGTAAATAGGTACATTTAGTTGATTCAGTTTGTCATACCTATGTAGGATGTATCCCTTTGAAGCACTCAAGACTTGTGAGATAACACAAATTGCAAACACACGTATGAGAACATATACGTAGGAAAAAAAAAAAGATAATACTTATGATAAATACTGCTGTTTTTAAAATGTACATTCATTGTCCGTAATTTTTCTTACGTGACTAAAATATTTTATTAATCAGCTTTCATTCGGTATTAAAGCTTATAAAGATAATATAATACATAGTATAGGATGTAATACTTTTATAAAGCTCTCTTAGGGTAAGATTTTAGTCTATTTGTGCCATTTTACGTTATTAAAACTGATATTGAGTGTTTATAACAAAACTCATTAAAAAATTTTTTTATGTATAAAATGTACTAAAATAAATGGTAAAATTAGATTAATTTTTGGTTTCTTTTTTGTCTTATAGTAGCTAACAGCTCATCTATATCTAGGTCAGAGTCTTTGGTTTCTAATAGTTGTTTACGAGGTGCAGGACGAGGTACTTGATTATGATGGTCCATCATGGAATTAATACCATCAGAAGTCATTTGTGCAGCAAAAGTGGGTTCATCAGACTGCGTTTGAGGGGAAAACATGGCTTCCACAGAACCGGCTGGCTTACGGCGAGATGATTCAAGCTGAAGGAAAGATGCGTTATTTATTTATTTTTAATTTGACGCTCCAAAATACGGGGACTTGACATACCTTTTCTTGAATTTTTTTCGATATTTCAGCTATTCTTTCGCTCTGAGACGTTTTCAGTTGAATGTTTTCTGAACTTGTCCTCATCTCTTTCATGGGTGACTTTAGTTTTTCCTCCAAAATGCTAAAAATTAAAATGATTAAGGTAAAAAAAAATTCACTTTTCCAAACTGCTGCTGAACAAACCTTGAAGTTGTATTCCAGTCACTATCGTTCGCTTCTTTTTTATCTTTATACTCTTCTTCTAGCAGGAATTCTTCTATAGATTTTGTTTCAGCTGCTTCTTTCTCGGAATTTTTCTCTTTGTCTACTTTTTCCAGATCGAAAAGCACTTTCTTCTTGACCATAGCTGAGCCCATTGCCGATTTAAGAACACTTTTGTTGTTCTTAGGCGAGGCAAGAGCCCACATGAGGCTTTGCTTTGACGATTGGTCCGAGTCGTTAGCAAGAGCATAAGAATCCTGAAGTATACTTTTCGCGCTTTTAGTCGGGGTGGAAGTTACTTTGGCGCTAGAATTTTCGAATGTAGGACTTTTATCGATATCTTGCATNTCCTGAAAATATGTCTTGTAAAGATTTCAGTTTACCAGAACCAACAGAAACGATAAAAAAAAATATTGATACTGACAATGACGAAAGAATATTTTGTAAACATAAATTCCATAAAATGATTTCACAACTTAGTCATGATCAACGTAAAATTTTTCAAGAAATAATAAAACTTGAAAAAAAGGATTTTTTCATTGATGGTTCTGGTGGATCTGAAAAATCTTTTTTCATATAAGGCATTAATTGAGTATTTCGTATCAACTAGAAAAAAATTTTCAACCATGGATTAGACAGGTATTGCTTCTAATCTTCTTCCGAAGGAAATTATTTTTTACAGAATCTTTAGACTTCCATTAGATTTGAGCACTATAGAAAGCGCGTTCCAGTTTAACTTGAATGAACAAAAATTACGTTAAGTAAAAGTAATTACTTGGAATGAAGCTTCTATGATACCAAAAAAAAAAAAACATTAGAAACAGTTGACAGAACTTTAAGAGATTTGTCTGATGATAAAAAACCTGTTGAAGATAAAATAATTATTAAAGGTGTAGATTTTTGTGTAATAATACTAGTTGTAAGTAATGAAAACATCATAAATATCATTGGAGAAATGAAAGTATTCTTATCTTAGATTTATATTTCCAATTGTTTATTTGA